CTGCAGAAATAATATGAAGTTCAACGATGAGAAATTTCAATTACTCCGATATGGTAAACATGAAATTAAAACTTCATCAGAATATAAAATAAATTCCAGCCACACAGTAGAGCGAAAAACTAATGTCAAAGACCTGGGAGTGATCATGTCGGAGCATCTCATCTTCAACGACCATAACATTGTATCAATTGCATCTGCTAGAAAAATGACAGGATGGATAATGAGAACCTTCAAAACTAGGGATGCCAAGCCCATAATGACACTCTTCAGGTTGCTTGTTCTATCTAGGCTGGAATATTGCTGCACACTAACAGCACCTTTCAAGGCAGGTGAAATTGCTGACCAAGAAAATGTACAGAGAACTTTCACTGCATGTATAACTGAGATTAAACACCTCAGTTACTGGGAGTGCTTGAAGTTCCTGAACCTGTACTCCCTGGAATGCAGGTGGGAGAGATACATGATAATATACACCTAGAAAATCCTAGAGGGACTAGTACCAAACTTGCACACGAAAATCCCTCTCTATGAAAGCAAAAGACTCGGCAAACAATGCAACATCCCACCACTATAAAGCAGGGGTGTCACTAGCACGTTAAGAGACAACACAATTAGTGTCAGGGGCTTAAGACTGTTCAACTGCCTCCCAGCATACATAAGGGGGATTACCAATAGACCCCTGGCTGTCTTCAAGCAGGCACTGGACAAGCACCTAAAGTTGATACCTGACCAGCCGGGCTGTGGCTCGTATGTTGGATAGTGTGCAGCCAGCAGTAACAGCCTGGTTGATCAGACCCTGATCTACCATGAGGCCTGGTCACAGACTGGGCCGCGGGGGTGTTGACTCCCGTAACTCTCTCCAGGTAAACTCCAGGAAATAAGTGGAAATAAACAAGAACTAGTAAGAAAAATAGAAGAAAACCGTGAAGGGTCCGTATATATATGCTTGTACATGCATGTGTAGTGTGACCTTGCATGTTTATGAGACAGAAAAAAAGACACCATCATGTAAAACAATTACAGGTTTTCGTGGATGGATTTAAAAAAGTATATGGTAGGGTGGATAGGGGAGCAGTGTGGCAGATGTTGCAAGTGTATGGAATAGGTAGTATGTTATCAAATGCTGTAAAGAGTTTTTATGAGGATAGTGAGGCTGAGGTTAAGGTGTGTAGGAGAGAGAAAGATTACTTCACAGTAAAAGTAGGTCTTAGACAGGGATGTGTAATGTCACCATGGTTGTTTAACATATTTAGAGATGGGGTTGTAAAAGAAGTAAATGCTGGGGTGTTGGGAAGAGTGGTGGAATTAAATTATGAGGAATCAAATACTAAATGGGTGTTGTCACAGTTACTTTTTGCTGATGATACTGTGCTTTTGAGAGATTCTAAAGAGAAGTTGTAAAGGTTAGTGGACAACTTATCTGAGTGAGCTGTGAGTGGTAAACTTGGGCCTAGATATGAGAGAATGGGTCTGTGTGGTAAGTGTGCACCATATTAAAAAAATCCTTAACGCAGTGCATAATGGGAATATGGTGTATTTTAGTATGGTTTTTATGATTGTATTCTCAGTTTCTTTTTCATGTTTGATAGAATGCAGGATATATTACAGAAATAGAGATGATTTTAATTAGTTTCCTGACTTAAAGTAGCTTGAAATTGAGCTCAAAGTAACAGAAATGTTTGATTTTTGCTGATATTCGAGAGTACACAAATTACGTCATTTGTTCAATACGTATCCAATTGGTTGGTCTAATACGAGTTCAGGAATGTGCTGACATTTTTTATACAATTATCACAGTAATACAGTAGTATGCATAACAATAAATGTTCTATTTTTTGTGTGATTAAAAATTCAAAATGAGAAGCAAGTATAATATATTTGAAGCCTGGGGACATAACTGATGAACATAGGAAATATTTTGTTAGTGCCAGGAATGTCTACAGTGTTTATTCTTGACCCTGTTTATAAATTGGCAATTTTTTAGTTTTGTGTGAAATTGGCCAAATTACTGATTTTTGATCACTAGATTGGGTAGTTGAAGTAGGTAAATGGGCAGTTTCTTGTACCCTGTGAATAAAATGGAAGGAATACTAGTGAAATAGCTGAATTTGGTTGACTCTAATAATGGAATTGGCCAAAAATAGGACTGAAAAGTGGGTGAAATTGCTGATGTGTAAATTTCACCGAGATCGCTAAATTTGAAAGAAAATAGTTGTGTAAAGTTTACATCAAATTTCATATTTTTGGTTTCATTGCATTCATTGCACTCAATAGATTGAACTGAAGTCATGTTAGTGAAACGGCTTAAAATTCAGTTGAATGGAGCAATGGAACTGGCTAAAATAGGACTTATAGTGGGCGATGTCACTAATGTGTAAAGTACACCAAGACCGCTAACTTTGTACGTTCATAATTCCATATGTTTTCTGGGAAATTTCTTACTTTTGGTGTCATTACTTTGGGAAAAAGATTCTTTCCCATTTTTTTTATTTTTTTAAGTGGACACTGAGAGCTAACAGTATTAATTTTGGGGGTCTAGACAGTAAAAAGGTTAATTTTGTGGCTTTGGAGAGTGAAAGGGTCAAGGGGTAGAATGAAAGGGAGTAAAGTAGCTGGGACAAAAATGTTAAAAGCAGATGTAGATGTAGTTTTTGTGGGGTTAGTTTATTATTATTATTTTTTTTATTGAAGGTGCTGGACATCTCCCACCGTGGCAGGGTGACAAGAAAAAGAAACGCCACCATTCACACTATCACTTGTTTTCCAGAGGCGTGCAGATATGATAATCTAGATGTCCCTACAAGTGGCAAATATCCCAAACCCCTCCTTTAGAGTGCAGGCACTGTACTTCTCACCTCTAGGACTCAGGTCCAGCTAACCAGTTTCTCTGAATCCCTTTACAAAATACACCTTGTGAGCAAGGTTTCTCATTATATGGTTAAAAAAAAAAAAGGGGAGGTATCCAAAGATTGGCATAGAGCATGTATTATTATTTTGTACAAAGGGAAAATGTGACAAGAGTGAGTAGAAAGTATAGGGAAATATGTTTATTAGTATACCAGGTAAGGTGTATGGTATAATTATTATTGAAAGAATTAAGGGTAAGACAAAGTAGGATTTCAGAAGAAAATGGGGGTGGCATTAGTACACTGAGGGAAAACATAGTGTCAGGGGCCCATAAGGGTAATTACCAATAGACCCCTGGCTGCCATCAAGAGAGAGCTGGACAGATACTGTATCAGCCAGACTGTGGTTCATGTGTTGGACTATGCACAAATAACCCGCACATAGAAAAGAGCTTACGACGACGTTTCGGTCTGACTTTGTAAATGGTCCAAGTCGGACCGAAACGTCGTCGTAAGCTCCTCACTTCTATGTGCGGGTTATTTGTGTAGTGTTCCAGGCATGGTATTGTGCCTTTTTGTTATTTATTGTTGGACTATGTATGGCCAACAGTAGCAGCCTAGTTGACCAGACCCTGATCCACTGGGAGACCTGGTCAAGGACTGGGCTGCTGACTCCCAGAACACCCTCCATCTAAGTAAGAGCACAGAGAATTTAGGAAGGGTAGAGGATGTGTAGGCCACATGTTTACATTGAAGCTTACAAGTGAACATTACTCAGATAAAGGTTGCACTTATGGATTTAGAACATACATTGGCAGTTTGGAGGGATATGTTGTGTATCTTTATATGTGTATGCTTCTAAACTGTTGTATTCTGAGCACCTCTGCAAAAACAATGATAATGTGTGAGTGTGGTGAAAGTGTTGAATGATGATGAAAGTATTTTCTTTTTGGGTATTTTCTTTCTTTTTTGGGTCACCCTCCCTCGGTGGGAGATGGCCGACGTTGAAAAAAATAAAAATAATTAATAAAGGTGGGTAGAAGGGCAATGGGTAGAGAAGGGGCAATCTGGTAGATGTTCTTAATACTTGGAATGGGTAGTAGATTTTTCAAAGTATTAAATAGGTTTTGTATGGATAATGATCCTTGGGTTAGGGTATGTGGGAGAGGGGATTATTTTCCAGTATAAGATAATGAATTAGATGCAAAATAGGAATTGTTTCAGTTGCTCTTTGCTGATTACACTTTTCTGGGAGATTCTGAAGAGAAGTTGCAGAGGTTGGTCGAAGGATTTGGGAGGGTATGTAAAACAAAGAAATTAAAAGTAGAACTATAAAAAAAACCAAGGTGATGAGAGTTACAAAAAGTTGAAGCAATGAAAGATTGAATATTAGATTGGAGGAAGTGCCTGCATTTAGACATTTGGTCTTGTCAGCAAATGGGTTTATGCTAAAGAAGGCTAGGTGAATCATAGAATAGATGAAGGGAGAAAGGTATAGTGGTACCAACACTTTTATATGGGTGTGAGGCATGGTTTTTGAATGTGGTAATAAGAAGGTTGAAGGCAGTGAAGATGTCATGTTTGAGCACAATGTGTGGTGTCAATATCATGCAGAGAACTTGGCGCATAGAAATTAAAAGGCAGTGTGGAGTCACTAAGAGTATAACTGAAGAGGGCTGATACAGGGTTTGCATTTATAGAGAGGTTGGAGAGGGATACTTTGAAGAAGAGGGTGTACAAGTCTGGGGTGGATGGTAAGAGGGGGACAGGGAGTCCCAGGATTGGTTGGAAGGAGGGGTAAAAGAGGCTTTGAATTTTAAGGGCTTGAGTGCCTGGCAGGCTTGTGTCATCACTTCAGATACTTTCTGTGAGGTGATTCAGGGAAACTGCTTAGCCGTTTCTGAGGTTTAGAGGTGGGAAAGGCAATACAGTGGGGATGTTACAGTCAGAGGGTAATCCAAATTGTGATGTCAGCACACCTCTGGGAAGACAGCTGTTGAATAAATGGTGAATGTGTTTTCCTCTTTGGGTAGAAAAACTCTTGAACATATCAAAGTTATACCCTGCCTTGGCAGGACATAGCCATTGAGATAAAATTCATATGTACTGCACATAATTTTTTCCTTTTTATGCTCTTTATTTTTTATTTTTCAGCAGATGGGTTCGTGGGAAGTATGAAGAGAAAGCGTGCTCATTGCAAAGATGTCCGCAATCGTAGTATTCTAGGTCTTTACAACAAGCTTCATGAGGTGGTGGGCTTGCTGGCTGACCTTCTCAATATACAAACTCTCACAGACACTACAGTATTGCAACTCTCCACCTTGGGTGTTGGCCCTTTTTTTGTTGAGAATGTGTCAGAATTGCAACTCTCTGCTCTCAGGCTTGTTACTAAGGTAAGTACAGCTTCTTTGCAAAACAAAATTTATCTTAAAGTAAATAGTGATAACAAAATAGGTTTGCCAAATCTTTTTCTTTGGTTTAGTGCACCTTGTCATTAATAAATAAGATTGTTTTTCACTTCATCATTGAAAATAATATGGAGATGTTATATATTAATGGAAGAATCCTGGAAGTCACATTGGAAGAGTATGCATTACTTAATTTGCTCTTAAGCATTAATAAAGATAATTGGTAATTGTTAGAATTAATGTCACTTTACAGTGCAAGGAATACTTAGTATTTTTGTGAATTCTATTCAGAAATTTCATTATTATCCTTAGTATCTAATTTCTCTCATAATAGAAATTATCCATTTTTTCTAATGTTGTATAGCATTACAGGACTTGAGTACCACCACATTTGAAAATGTTCATAATAGCATTTTTACCTTTTCATAGCCTGGATGTTTCCAAGTTAAGCTGAGTTACTCTACAAACACTACGTTGATTACATGTTTTATTTTTTTATTTACACACCAGCCATTTCCCACCGAGGTAGGGTGCCCGAAAAAAAAAAAAACTTTCACCATCATTCATTCCATCACTGTCTTGCCAGAGGCACGCTTACACTACAGTTATGAAACTGCAACATTAACACCCCTCCTTCAGAGTGAAGGCACTGTACTTCCCATTTCCAGGAATCAAGTCCGGCCTGCTTGTTTCCCCGAATCCCTTCATAAGTATTACCCTGCTAACACTCCAATAGCACATCAAGTCCTAAAAAACCATTTGTCTCAGTTTGCTTCTATATAACATGCTCATGCATGCATGCTGGAAGTCCAAGCCCCTCACACACACAACCTCATTTACTCCCTCCCTCCAACCTTTCCTAGGTTGACCCCTACACAGCCTTCCCTCCATTACAGATTTATACACACTGGAAATCATTCTATTTCGTTCCATCCACTCTACATGTCTGAACCACCTCAAAAACCCCTCCTCAGCCCTCGGGATAATAGTTTTGGTAATCCTGCACCTCCACCTAATTTCCAAACTACGAAGTCTCTGCATTATATTCACATTACACATTGCCTCCAGCCTTGTCCTTGTTGCAACATTCACCACCCATACTTCGCACCCATATAAGAGTGTTGGCATAACTATACTCTCTTACATTCCCCTCTTTGCTTCCATGGACAAAGTTCTTTATCTCCACAGACTCCTCAGTGCACCACGCACCTTTTTCCTCTCATCAGTTCTGTGATTCACCTCATCTTTTATAGACCCATCTGCTGACACGTCCACTCCTAAATATCTGAATACATTCATCTCCTCCATGCTCTCCCCCTCCAATCTGATATCCAGTCATTCATCACCTAAGTTTTTGGTTATCCTCATCACATTACTCTTTCCTATATTCACTTTTAATTTTCTTCTTTTACATTCCCTACCAAACTCATCCACCAGCCTTTGCAACTTCTCTTCAGAATCTCCCAAAAGCACAGTGTTATCAGCAAAGAGCAACTGTGATAACTCCCACTTTGTGTTAGATTCCTTATCTTTTAACCCCACACCTCTTGCCAGCATGTGAGCATTCACTTCTCTTAAGCCCCATCTACAAATATAGTATTGAAGAACATAACACATCCCTGCCTAAGGCCTACTTTTACTGGGAAATAGTCTCCCTCTCTCCTACATATTCTAACCTGAGCCTCGCTATCCTTGTAAAAACTTTTCACTGCTTTGAATAACCTACCTCCTATTCCATACGTTTGCAACATCAGCCACATTGCCCCCCATCAACCTTGTCATACTCCTTTTCCAAATCCATAAATGTCACAAAAACCTCTTTATCCTTATCTATATACTGTTCAGCTATATGTTTCACTGTAAACACTTGGTCTACAACACCCCCTACCCTTCCTAAAGCCTCTGTGTTCATCTGCTATCCTGCTCTCTGTTATTTTTTTTTTTTATCACACTGGCCGATTCCCACCAAGGCAGGGTGGCCCGAAAAAGAAAAACTTTCACCATCATTCACTCCATCACTGTCTTGCCAGAAGGGTGCTTTACACTACAGTTTTTAAACTGCAACATTAACACCCCTCCTTCAGAGTGCAGGCACTGTACTTCCCATCTCCAGGACTCAAGTCCGGCCTGCCGGTTTCCCTGAACCCCTTCATAAATGTTACTTTGCTCACACTCCAACAGCATGTCAAGTATTAAAAACCATTTGTCTCCATTCACTCCTATCAAACACGCTCATGCATACCTGCTGGAAGTCCAAGCCCCTCGCACACAAAACCTCCTTTACCCCCTCTCTCCAACCTTTCCTAGGCCGACCCCTACCCCGCCTTCCTTCCACTACAGACTGATACACTCTTGAAGTCATTCTGTTTCGCTCCATTCTCTCTACATGTCCGAACCACCTCAGCAACCCTTCCTCAGCCCTCTGGACAACAGTTTTGGTAATCCCGCACCTCCTCCTAACTTCCAAACTACGAATTCTCTGCATTATATTCACACCACACATTGCACTCAGACATGACATCTCCACTGCCTCCAGCCTTCTCCTCGCTGCAACATTCATCACCCATCACCCTGCTCTCTGTCTTACTCTTAATTCTTTTAATAATAACGCTACCATAAACTTTACGAGGTATACTCAACAGACTTTTTTCAACACATCGGCCGTATCCCACCAAGGCAGGGTGGCCCAAAAGGAAAAACAAGTTTCTCATTTTACATTTAGTAATCTTTCTTTCTTGCAACACACCGGCCGTATCCCACCAAGGCGGGGTGGCCCAAAAGGAAAAACGAAAGTTTCTCCTTTTACATTTAGTAATATATACAGGAGAAGAGGTTACTAGCCCCTTGCTCCCGGCATTTTAGTTGCCTCCTACAACACGCATGGCTTATGGAGGAAGAATTCTGTTCCACTTCCCCATGGAGGTAAGAGAAAATAAACAACAAGAACAAGAACTAGTAAGAAAATATTAGAAAACCCAGAGGGGTGTGTATATATATGCTTGTACATGTATGTGTACTGTGACCTAAGTGTAAGTAGAAGTAGCAAGACATACCTGAAATCTTGCATGTTTATGAGACAGAAAAATGGACACCAGCAATCCTACTGTCATGCAAAACAATTACAGGCTTCCGTTTTACACTCACTTGGCAGGACGGTAGTACCTCCCTGGGCAGTTGCTGTCTACCAACCTACTACCTATAACATTTAGTAATATATACATAAATATATATATAGAGGAGAGAGAGAGATTCTGGGAAATGTTGAGTGAATGCGTGGGGAGTTTTGAATCAAGTGTGAGAGTAATGGTGGTTGGGGATTTTAATGCTAAAGTGGGTAAAAATGTTATTGAGGGAGTAGTAGGTAAATTTGGGGTGCCAGGGGTAAATGTAAATGGGGAGCCTTTAATTGAGCTATGTGTAGAAAGAAATTTGGTAATAAGTAATACATATTTTATGAAAAAGAGGATAAATAAATATACAAGGTACGATGTAGCACGTAATGAAAGTAGTTTGTTAGATTATGTATTGGTGGATAAAAGGTTGATGGGTAGGCTCCAGGATGTACATGTTTATAGAGGGGCAACTGATATATCGGATCATTATTTAGTTGTAGCTACAGTTAGAGTAAGAGGTAGATGGGAAAAGAGGAAGGTGGCAACAACAAGTAAGAGGGAGGTGAAAGTGTATAAACTAAGGGAGGAGGAAGTTCGGGCGAGATATAAGCAACTTTTGGCAGAAAGGTGGGCTAATGCAAGAATGATCCCATCAGCTGGAACTGATGGGATCATGACAGAAATGTTAAAAGCTGGGGGATATAGTGTTAGAGTGGCAGAAAGGTGGGCTAGTGCAAAGATGAGTAGTGGGGGGGTTGAAGAGGGTTGGAATAGTTTTAAAAATGCAGTATTAGAATGTGAGGCAAAAGTTTGTGGTTATAGGAGGGTGGGGTCAGGAGGAAAGAGGAGTGATTGGTGGAATGATGAAGTAAAGGGTGTGATAAAAGAGAAAAAGGTAGCTTACGAGAGGTTTTTACAAAGCAGAAGTGTTATAAGAAGAGCAGAGTATATGGAGAGTAAAAGAAAGGTGAAGAGAGTGGTGAGAGAGTGCAAAAGGAGAGCAGATGAAAGAGTGGGAGAGGCACTGTCAAGAAATTTTAATGAAAATAAGAAAAAATTTTGGAGTGAGTTAAACAAGTTAAGAAAGCCTAGGGAAAGTATGGATTTGTCAGTTAAAAACAGAGTAGGGGAGTTAGTAGATGGGGAGAGGGAGGTATTAGGTAGATGGCGAGAATATTTTGAGGAACTTTTAAATGTTGAGGAAGAAAGGGAGGCAGTAATTTCATGCACTGGCCAGGGAGGTATACCATCTTTTAGGAGTGAAGAAGAGCAGAATGTAAGTGTGGTGGAGGTACGTGAGGCATTACGGAGAATGAAAGGGGATAAAGCAGCTGGAACTGATGGGATTATGACAGAAATGTTAAAAGCAGGGGGGGATATAGTGTTGGAGTGGTTGGTACTTTTGTTTAATAAATGTATGAAAGAGGGGAAGGTACCTAGGGATTGGCAGAGAGCATGTATAGTCCCTTTATATAAAGGGAAAGGGGACAAAAGAGATTGTAAAAATTATAGGGGAATAAGTTTACTGAGTATACCAGGAAAAGTATACGGTTGGGTTATAATTGAAAGAATTAGAGGTAAGACAGAATGTAGGATTGTGGATGAGCAGGGAGGCTTCAGAGTGGGTAGGGGATGTGTAGATCAAGTGTTTACATTGAAGCATATATGTGAACAGTATTTAGATAAAGGTAGGGAAGTTTTTCTTGTATTTATGGATTTAGAAAAGGCATATGATAGAGTGGATAGAGGAGCAATGTGGCAGATGTTGCAAGTATATGGAATAGGTGGTAAGTTACTAAATGCTGTAAAGAGCTTTTATGAGGATAGCGAGGCTCAGGTTAGGGTATGTAGAAGAGAGGGAGAATACTTCCC